ACTTGAAAGGCACAGTCATCTGCCAGCCCAACCTTGGTTTCGCTGTTAGAATTTCCTGGCAGTAAACTTCAACAGCTACAGTTGTCGGTACAGCTCCATTTCCATTAATGAGAATTGGGATGCTCTAATTTTCCTAGCATGGGTCTCTTGACGAGAGGGAAAAATATCAGCTGTCATCAAGTCAGTGCTCTATATAAATCACTGACTTTAAGATTGCTTTTAAATCATATACATTCTGAGCAATTTTATCCACATCCAGTGATACTAAAAAACATTTCCTCCTAAATGCAAAGACCTTGAGACTAAGGACATGGCTCTATGGAGAATTAGTTTACCAGCCAGGCCATACAAAAACTGCCTGGAACAGTATATACATTTTTAATGACTTTTATTGGTGAGCTGGTTTTTACCTTTAACATGAAGCTTTTTTTTTTTTTGTAAAAACTTTAGGCTTTATTAGAAGCATGTAGAGTCATGTGTGGTGGTGATTTTAGAACTTGGGAGGTAGATACTGAGTTCTAGGTCATTCTGAGTCACATAAAGAGGCTCTGTTTTAAAAGGGGGAACAGAGTCAGCTCCATAGGGTAATGAGACTGAGAAAATTCTTTTTTTCTGAAATTAAGAGGATCAGAAAGAATAGTTATTTAACTACTGTCTAAATTCTATATGATACCTATAATTTTGGCTTTCCTAACAAGTTCAAGTTGTAAAGTTTAATTTATACCTGTAACTTAATCGTCCATTTTCTATTTTTGGGGGGGGGACAGTATCCATTAGCTGCAAGTCCAACAAGGCCCTCTTCCGTACCCACATGTGAGAGCATGATAGATGCATTGCATGGTTCTGCACTCAGGAGCTGTTGTAGTGAACACACAAAAAAAGTGATTATCAGTCTGCTCAGAGATGTCTGCCGCTACTCACATTGCTAACGTAAAGATGCCCAGAGCAGCAGAAATCATGTACATTTGTGTAGTGCATGGGAGTCAATGAAACATTTTTATCTAATGCCTGTGATTTTACAATCAGGCTCCTACATATGAAAAACAGGAACTTCAGAAAGAGGACATAGTCTCCTTTTTAATAGGCAAACAGACAGCCTTTATTAATGTGCAAAAATCTAACAACTTTCCCAAGGTCAGTTTGCTTCTGACAATGAAATAACTAATAATATATTACATATACGAAAATTAACAGGTGACACACAATAAATGTATAGTTTTCAATAGAAATAAAACTGAAGCAAACTCCTTAACTGCCCCTCAGTTCATGTCAGTGTTCTCATTTAGGAGATTAGTCTCTACCTCTATTTATTAAAACACTAGCAAATATGCTTTAATAAATTAATGGGAATTTTGTTTGATATTCAACAGGTACGGTCCTTATTCTCAATCCCACTGGCAGACTAAGACATTAGGCTAAATTTGGGGATGCCCTAGCTCAAATGCCAGCGGAATCTCCCTGGCCCGGTTGGGAGCTTCACGGAAGTTAAGCTCTGACACAGCAACACACACACACACACACACACACACACACACACACACACACAATGCACATGTGTAATTGCTGCCAAGGTAAAGAAGACCCACCTTTCAACTCCAGACACCCAAAACGACATCAAGTGGGTGAAACATGACTCTCTGCATGGAAATATATTACTCATCCTTTGACTGGGCATTTTGTGCCACGGAGAAATAATTTTGTAAAGGGTGTCTTTGTAGTATGAAAAGAAGACTCAAAGCACATTTCCAAAAACAGCTATAAACCCAATTTAACAATAGCTGGCTTTGTGTCAGGGACAAGTGAACCCGGGAGGTGGTTAGTCTTGGGTGCCGAGTCACTTAAGAGCTTAGAAGCTGCCTGGCGTTGGTGATGCATGCCTTTAATCCCAGAACTCGGGAGGCAGAGACAGGTGGATCTCTTTGAGTTCGAGGCCAGCCTGGTCTACAGAGCGAGTTCCAGGACAGCATCCAAAACAATACAAAGAAACCCTGTCTCGAAAAAAAAAAAAAAAAGAAAAAAAGAAAAGAAAAGAAAAGAAGAGAAATAGCTACTCATTTTACATATACTCCTAAAAGCCATGTTTCTGCCTGAGTCAGACGAAGGAAGGAATTCCACATGGGACTCACATTTCTAACAAACATATCCCTTCCTATAGTTAAATAGCTCTATATGGATCAAGATTAAAGGCAAGTCATATAATCTAAAAGTCTTGCCTGCTTACAGGAGATGGCCAGTTCAGTTCCATACCCCACACTGCTAGGAGTCTTAGCTACGGTCACCCTCATGGATTCCTGGGAGCTTCTATTGCACTGGGTTCCTAGCACTTCAATAATGTTTTACATGAGTTCTTTGAACTCATCCTCTCTGACTACAGTCTGCATGTGACTCCCAAAATAATTCATATTTTAGATCCCCAAAAGGTCAAGTTTACAACCTAGTTCTTTTCTAGTGTCCCAAAAAATCTCAGAAACATACCCTGAATTTTCTTTTCTCCCAACCATCTGTGTGGCATGTAAAAATACAGGTGTTACTAAAGAATATTGAGAGAGCATGAAGGAAAGCAGTGTCTACAAAACTTCCCCTCCCCCTCCCAACTGAAAGATAGTCACTGGCTCAGAATGAGGCCCTAAGATAGTCCTTTGATTTATGCTAGGAATGAATATCTTTAAATGAGTATAGTATCTTCCAGCTCAAAGGCGATTGTACCATACAGATGTTTAAGAGCATAAAATCAACTATATTCTTAGTTATATAACAGAAAAACCTCATAGGACACATTTAGTACGTCTAGGCCAGCAGGCAAGGTCTGAACTACAGCCTCTATGGATCTCACCTATGTCTCCTTACTCTCCAGCCTCAGTACTCTGGAGCTCTGCAAGCACCCTGAAACTTAGAAACATTTAGTAAGCAATTCGATGTACACACTGTTGGTGCCACAAGTAAAAGTTCATTGCAGTATCCTTATGAGATTTGGTAGGCATAGCACTCTGACACAGTCGTCTGGATGTGGAGGTGAGGTCTGGTCTCACCAATACCTCCTCTCAACTGCCTGGGAAGGATAGCCAATCCCCAGACATTGCTTCTAAGTGATTAGTATGGAAGAGAATCCTTTCTTGCTCTAAGACTCCCACCCCATGCCCTTCATAGACCAAGCCAATGTGCAAGCATGTATCTTTCTTCTCCTCCTCCTCCTCTAACCTCTTGTGGGTAGATATATTTCTGAATGACTAAAATTTCACATTTATTAAAACTATCTTTTTGTAGTTAGAATTACTTTGCTCATTTCTTTGAGATTTTCATATAATTTTTTAATCAAGTCCACTCCCCATTCCCTTCACTTCAGTTCCTCCCCATTATTCCTTCCAATACTTTTCTTCCCCAAATTCATGTGCTCATAATATATATACATATGTATACACACACACACACACACACACACACACACACACACAATTCACTGAGTTCCACTTGTATGGCCAGTATGTGCATAAGAGTAGAATCATCTACTAGAACATGGGAATCTGGAGGCCGCATCACTAAAGAAAATCCTCCCTTTCCTAGCAAATATCAGTAACCAATAGGGGTGGGACAGCTAAGTCTGACAACCTGAGTTTGAGTCTCAGGACTACAAGGTAGGAAAAAAACCAACTGCTATATATGTATACATGTATGAATATATATATGTATATATGATTCATTAAAAGTACCATCTTTTGCAATAAAAATGTTTCCTAAGTCAAAAAAAGATATGAGCTACCAAACGCAAGTTCAGTTGTGTTTTGCTAACTTAATTATACATATCAAACTGTCAAACCTTTCTTGTGCTACCTTTTAAAACTTTGTTACTTATTATTGGTGTATGTGTGTATGCTTAAGGGGGACACACGTGTCCTATAGCACACATGCAGAGGTCAGAGAATAACTTTATAGATTGGTTCTCTCCTTACACCTTTATATGGATTCTGAGGATCCAACTCAGGTCTTTAGCCTTGAGTGTCAAGCGCTTTATCCACTGAGCAATTTCTTTTGCCTGCCCACATTTTTACTATTACTTTTTAATCATGCAAGCTATAGTATAATTTAGCTTTCTTAGTGAATACTCCATATTCATTCTTCAGTGCTTCACAGACAGTCACTGCACAAATTAACCTTCTGGAAGCTTCCTTCACCTTCCTTCCACTCCAAGCATTTTAAATGTTCCATTTCAACCTGCGTCTTCTGCTAGGCCCTTCCTCCTGTAGACATACTATCACTGTCGTTAATATAACATGAAATTAGGGTTTTACCTGAAAATTCATTGGCATGTTTTTTAGAAACCTATGCCTTAAAAGTATTGTCATTATAGTCCTATCATCCTTTAATTTGCATAGAACTCAGTCTGTCCTGTTTTTATTTGTTTTGTTTTATAACAAGGTTTCCCAATGTAGCCCAGGCTGGCCTTGAACTTATTCTCTTGATTCAGTTTTTGAAGTTTGAGGTGTACCCCTATTGCACCAGGGTCAGCTAGTATGCACACATGTGTATTTGTATTCAGGTGGTGGTGCACTTGTACACACACACACACACACACACACACACACACACACACACACATTCCTGCATCTGTGTAGGCCCAAGGTTGACACTGGATGTCTTACTTGCTTTCTACGTTATTCATTGAGGCAGAGGCACTCATTTGAACCTAAAGATAATCAATATAGGTAACCTAGCAAGCCAGCTTGCTCCAGAGAACCCAAGTCTCCACCATCACCCTGACAACCTAGCATTTATAGAGGATCCAGGGATCTGAACTACTGTCTTCATGGTTTTAAATCAGGTGCTTTACCCACTAAGCAATCTCCCCAGACCATACATACATCTTGTTTTTAACTCCCTACTTCTAGTCACGTCGTCCCTTAAAATGAGCGTATGTTCACTTATTGAACATAGGCTGAATTCAACTTATTAACCCGAATACTATTATCCACTCATTAAGGAAATATTTATTTACTGTATGATTCCTTGCATTGTTCTAGGAAAGTTATAGCACATGGACAAACAGATAAAAACAACTCTATTAGGAGCTTTACTGTCCACTATTAAAAGATAATCAGACAAACAAATGACCATACAAGGAAAACAAGACCACCATGTCCAGATCAGTATGCACAAAAGAGAATGAGTGGGGTTTAAATTAAGACTGAATTAGCACTTCAGACAGTGGCCTCTCTAGGGAGTCAATGGCTGATATGAGGCAGGAGACTATTATTAAAAGATCTGAAGAAACAGTGATCAGGATGGTGTTGGGTGAGAACAAACATGATAGATGGAGAAACAGAAGAATGTTCAAGTGGTTTGGGGGTCATAGTCAGAACTTTTGTTAGGAACATCTGAAGTTTGAGATGCAGAAGATTCAGCCAAGGCAAGATGTCCTGGAAGCTGTGTGGGTTGGAATCCTGTGTTGGGGAGAGATGGGAATGAAGCCAAAAATGAAAAGCATTGTTGAATCTTAGGAGTGTAGTTAAGTCATGAGGCATGCTGAACAGGCAAATTTGGAATCAGACCCATGCACTGATTCTGAATTTACCCAAGTCTCTGTGCTCTTCTGTAGACAATTAAACTGCCTGCTGCATCCACTAAGATTCCATTCTTCAAGATGGTTGTCCCTCAGTGACTTAGTTCTACAATGTTAAGACTATTCCACATAGTTAATGTTTATCCTTTAAGATGGCCATTTGTCTTAAATACTCACATGTTCTCTCATCACAGGCTTATTTATATTTATCTTCCACTGTGCCATGAAGGAGAACGTTCAAAAGCAGTGGAGGCGCCACCTCTGCTGCGGCAGGTTTCGGCTAGCGGACAATTCAGGTAGGGCATGGGGTTGAGTGGCTTTCATTTGGAGAAGCAGTTGAGACCATTGGCTTTCTGCCTTGCGCTGTCAGAGCAGCAAAGCCCACCGAGAGTGCTGTAGACACAGAGTGTGTGAAGATGCTGAGCTGGAATCTTGGAACATTCTACCCTGGACCCCATCTTTGAATGTTGTAGAGAAGAAACAGGAATCCTAGGCAGGTTTAGAAAGTTGCTTAAGTTTTGACGTCTAATTTGACAATTCATATCTGGAGATTCCACCACAGTAAATCAACCTTGCCATAGTTTTAAGTCCTCAATTGAATTTTAGGTGGAGAAAATGTTCTTAGGATACAAAACATTTGAAGGAAAGTGTTGCTTCTGCAAATGCTTCTCACCTATAGGGCATTGAAGTGAGACACTAAACAGCAAAAGCATGCGACCAGAGCAAGATAGTTCTCTGCCCTGGCCTCTCGCTGTTTCCATTTCAGTGTCTTTAAGTCACTGAGTGGAGTAGGAATCTGACTCTTCTGGATAAACTAAATAACACAGGGATGGATTTCTGGGACAGCTTGTATTTTCTATAAGCCAATAAAGTCCTGTCCTTTGTTCTTTCAGATTGGAGCAAGACAGCAACCAATATCATCAAGAAGAGCTCCGATAACCTGGGGAAATCTTTGTCTTCAAGCTCTATAGGCTCCAACTCAACGTATCTCACATCCAAGTCAAAATCCAGCTCCACCACCTATTTCAAAAGAAACAGCCACTCAGGTGAGTCATTCCTGGCCATGTAAAACTTCCCCTTTGTTGTTTCCAACCTATCCATTTTCATTTTCATCACAAAACTGACTGACACTGACCGGTAGATCCCAGTGCTTTCTAGAGGGTGATTGTAGACTTATATGACCTACACTGTCTATCTAAAGACTTTATCCATCAGCGTTGTGAATTTTAAATTTAAAATATTTTTAGCCCAACTACATCTAGTCTACAGCCATAATATCACCAGCTCTCAATATTGTAACTTGAAAGTTTAACTTGAAACAGTTTTTTCTCTGAAATTGTGATACTTCATTTTTAAAGTCATTTCTGCTTAGAAACACAGAAATGAAATTGCAAAGCATTTCAAGCCAGTAGGAAACTTGCCAGGATGAAACCGGCAAGTTGGCGCGGGGACAGGAAGAGGCACCATGTAAGATGTATGCTGTCATTGTGACTTAGTTCCTTAACCATTGAAAGTGACGAGGAGCAGTAAGTGGCAACCGTCCCTTAGCACGCTGATAAAATACGAAAGAACGGAGCACAATCCTGATGAAGTCATAAGGACTGTGAGAAACACTGCTTTTGTCTGTGTCCTGTTTCTTCAGCACAGCTGTGTGACTACATGTCCTGACACTAAGCATATACACAAATAATCTTGAAGACAACTGGGAAATACAGAGGGTCTTGTATTACTTGATAGTGAGATATGTGAAAGGTTTCAACTTTTAACTTCTAAGGGCAATGATAGGATTTCTAGTTTTAGATACGCATTAAGCCCTTGACAGACAGCTGCAGTGTCTTATACACACTGCATTCCTAAAGCTGCATCTAAGACTGTAATGGAAATAGGTTTAAAATGTTTACCCCACATAGTTATTACATGTGAGCAGTAGTGGATGGCACAGAAAAGTCTAATAGTTGACATTTTTCTAAAAAGAGGTGAGATATGTGAAGCATCTGTACTTGTTCATGTTGCAAAGACTCAAATTATAGTTTATTTACAAGTCTAAATCCCTGTTGGTTGTTGGTGGGACAGCTATCTACTGAAGATGGCTTGGGGTGTGCACAGAGCATCCACATACCTAAAAAATATGTAGTTGGTTTATTTCTTGGAATTGATCTAGACATTCATATGTTTATGGTGTAGATAATTTCTCCTAAGAGAATTCCTTCAACAAAAGTGGAACATTCAGGTAACTCACACTGCTTTTTCTTGGATGCATGAATTTGTACAAGGTAATGAGAACGTCTGCATGGACTAAGCTAAGGTTCTTGCTGCACCAGCAAACTGGCTTGTTCTTTACGGTACTTCTCAGCTAGCACAACGGTACTCCTGCACTGAGCTGGAATCTGAAATTTCTGATAGTGGGCTGTGCCGGCTCTTCTCTGCATGGGGTGTGCAAGCTGTGCCTTCTAAGAAATGTACCATATGTACCATGCTCCAGAATGGGTCACATATCATGTAATATAATGACAAAAAAAGAAGTGCTTAGTAAACTTTTTGTGATGTGATGTGACTTTTTTTATTATTTATTTATTTTTTACTTTTCAGTGTCTTTTGGATTACTGGGTATGTCATGGTACATTCGTAGAAGTCTTGAATGAGAAATTTTTCAATTGCAAGCTGCTTGTGCCTTCAATATATATCAAATAACAGTTCCTATCTCTAGTCCCTGGTTTTCATATATGCAATCTAAATCTTTGCTATCCATAATGTGGTGTTTAACCAGACGCCATGGGACATCATGTATGTGTATGATGTACTGGGTGCATACACACAGAACTCCACTCTAGGAGAGCACCGAGAACCATCCAGTGGGGTCACGTATTTGGAATAGGGCCAGTTACAGCCGCCAAAAATACATGCCCTTGGAAACTGTCCAGGAGGGCTGGAGAGATGGCTCAGCCGTTAAAGGCTAGGCTCACAACCAAAAATATAGGAAACTGTCCAGGAAGCAGAAAGAATTGTTCTTCAGCATTCTTCTGAGGACTTGGGGTTTGCTAATAACATCAACCACAAATTATTCATTATGTATATTATTTAATAAATAACAATCCTTAACAGAAAACCAGTGGCTAGCAAATCTGTGAACACGAAGGAAGCACAAAGTCAACCAGCTTTCTGAGAGCCTCATGAGCAGGCCCTTGTCTGTGGCTCCTCCAGGCTGTTTGTCATCAGTGGTGGGACTTGCTTTAGTCATGCTGTCATTCCACCCGCCCATCTTCCCATGAACCCTCTCTTCTTCCCCCTGGTTTCCTGTAGTATGGGATGGCACTGCCATGCCCTCTTTTAGGCCTCTTGATTTGGTGTTTGCCCTAACACAGAACAGTGTGGAGCAGAAGATAGCACAATGATGGCTTGGAGTTTTTTCACCTATTGAAGCATTCTTCAGGGCATTTCACATATGGGGCCCAGTCTACTCAAGACACAAAAGGCTTGAAGCAAATACAGCAATTTGGAGCTCTGACTACTGGGATTGGTGTTTTGGGGGCAGCATTTTCTTGTCTCTCCCACAAAGTGTAGAGGAGAACGAGAAAGGAGATGTGATTATAGTGAAGCCATTTTTTTCCTTTGTCATCTCTCTGAAGTCTGTATTTGGTTAGTCCAAGGGCAAAACTTTTCCCAAGGTGTATCAGGAGGGAGAACTTAGACACTGATTATATTCGTAGAAACACAAAAGTTCACACAGATAATAAGGGTAGTATGAGTTTCAGCTTTCAGACCATCACCTGATCCAATTTTAGAGTTCCTGAATCTGTAGAAGAACAGCATGCACTTATCTATGATGGAAAAATTCTAGAAATGCATTTAGTGATCCTCAGTTGCTGCTATTGTCTCTGACATTGTTGTTTCTGAAATATTTCCAGTGAAGAGAGTTTTGACCCTACAATCTGATAATGCTTCTGCTCTCCTCCATTCCCATCGCACCTGCGAACTGGGAGCAATGCTCTCAGCACAGTATTCCATGCTTAAATCAAATCATGTCAACAAGTTTTATGACAGTGTCAAATTTGCATATCGGGTGGAGTGGAGTGTGTCTCCTTGCACTTGTGACCTCAGAGGCATCTATATTTTCATTTTCCCTACTCTGTATTAATTGGAAAACATGTCTTAGGTATCATATCTTTTTTCATGAGTATTTCACCACATCTTAACTCAGTTGTTAACTTACTTCTGACTTTGGGGCCATTTGGTGCATATATTCTTGAAAAAAGATGTTCATCTATTTTATTCATTAACTCTGAAAAATGACATTTGGGGAAATATTTTGTTATAACAAGCCACAACAGAAGTTACTGGAAGGCAGTTTGACATTTGGTGACTATTAAAAGTGCATTGAAGGAGTAACATATTTGAGTGCCCATTCCCTAGTGTGTCGGGGAACCCGGGACTTCTATTGCTTTGTGTGTTTCTTGAGTGTCATGGCCTCAGGCTTGTAACTAGCTCATCCTGCAACCTAATCTCTTGTAACGTTTCTTACAGACAGCACTTCCATGGACAAGTCCTTGTCAAAACTGACCCACGCCGGTGGAGAGCAGACATCAATCAGCTCTGTCCATCAGGTTATTGATAAGGTCAAGGGTTACTATAATGCTCACTCAGATAACTTCTATAAAAATATTATCCTGTCAGATACCTTCAGTCACAGTACAAAGTTTTAATGTCCTTGGTAAAAGGAAAAAAATAAAAAGAAAAGAAAACCTGTCTGGAGAAATGTGAAGCTCTGCATGCAGTGAAATCGACGCCCAGCGGAAGTCGGTGTGCTGTTACCTAGGCAACTACAGAGCCTTGAGGACTGGATCTTGTTAGAGAAGCTTTTGTGAGATGCAGAATTCATCTTTTCAGAATATTTCTTCTGTGGACGAGCTTCAGTCATCATTCTTGAGAACTGGGAACACCTTGAACACTGCAATTAGATAGGACGTTTTTTGAATGAGTAATTAAATCAAACTCATCAGAGTTTGAGGAAAAGGGGATTAAAATTAGAGGACACAAAAGGAAGAAGCCCAAGAGTGAATTCTAGTTTAGATCTCATCTACCCCATCTCATAAAGACTACATAGAAAACACACTAAGTAATGTTTGTAGTGATTTTGGGTGCTCACGGGTTCTGCTCCAATGCTATTTTCTATGAATATAGCAGTGTCTTTTTCTTCTTCAGTGAAATTTCAACTGTAAGTAGAAAAGATGTTTAATATTTGATCCACATAAAATTAAACGTGCTTTTTTTCCTATCATGTTAACTATTTAACTTTCATGAATGTAACTTGCTAAAGAAAGTATTTCAAAAATTTGGTCTAGTTGATATGGTATATAAATTTCCAATATCTCAAGACATACAGCTTAAACATCACCACCATCCCATGCATACAACTGAGTGTCAACTTTTTGTTAAAGTAAACTTTCTGGATGTTAAGAACAAACCTGCTACACACACACACACACACACACACACACACACACACACACATACATCCTCCTTCACTGTGCATTGGGACCTCTGGCTCAGGAGAAGAGTGATAATTCCAGTTAAGCACCCTTATGGGATGGCCTTTCACCATGTAAAGAACATACTTTTGACATTATGTGAACCTATTTGTGCTTTAATGATTTTAAGACATAAAATCGGAGACCTCACATAAACTTCAGAAACCTCTGACTTTCCCTGGAATTTTCTTCTGTCTAGCATACACTGAAACACACAGTTGGCTCGGTTAACCAAAATAATTTATAAATATGTAGGTCTACAACTGCTAGTCGAAGAACTATTTGCACTGAATCCTCCAATCAGAGTGTGTAAGAGCCTAAGGAGGGCTGTGGAGACACACTACTCTATGGTGTAATATTTACGGATCAGATTGTGGCATGCAAGTCACGTGTAGCATTAAGCAGCTTACCTAAATCCTCAACGATCCTAAAGCAATGTGTGCTTGCTAATGAGGGTATGGGTTGTTCTCAAGTGATGGAATCTTATCTGCTGGCTTCAGTACATGTTGGCTTTAGTCTTGCGCAAAGTTGTCCAAGAAGTTTCAGGTTTGGCATAACAGCAGCACAATGATGACAAAAGGGAGAGATTCTGGCAGAGGCACTCAGAAGGCAGAGGCCAGACCTGAACCTCTGTGCAGAAAATAGGTCATTCTCAGCAATGATACAGAAGACCTTGCAGGCTTTACAACAGATGAAGGATCTTCTGAAGTCTCACTGAGTGTCAATCGTGAAACTACTTGCCAGGCTGCGAAAGATGTTGATAGAATGTGGTGGTGGATTGTTGATGGCGTTGCATTTTGTATCAGCCAGGACTGCCATCTTGGAGCACATGAGCTTTGCTAGGCCTGGCTTTCACAGAGGACGAGGCCATTTAGGAGAAAGAGTCACTTCAGTAGAGCCAACCCCTTCTTTGGGTTCATATTAGCGGGCTGCTCATTGTGCAAGAGGATACATTTGGGTAAAACTGAAGCTTAAACAGTCACTAATTATTGACGTACTTCCCCCACAAACTTAGGTGGTCATGATAGATTTTAATTAGCTCTCTACTGTGAGATTTCTGCACAAAGTGCATATTTAATAATAAAAATCATGACATAGCTTCAAAAATGACCTTGCTTTTGATTTCTACTTATAAGTATCCCGATCTGAGAAACTCTTTTTTAGTTTTTCATATTTGGCAATGACGTCAGCGCCACTTTAAAAAAAATGTCTGATGAACAGGTAAAGGAAACAAAAATGGAGGAATACCAGACTAGAAATATTTACAAGTTTAAAAGACTGATCCAAATCCATCTTCAATTCCAAGTATGTGTCTTCATTTGCATTTGGCCCTGAGAAGAACGAGCCAGGAACTCCACTGGGGGGCCAGTCTTCGGCCTCCACCCACCTGTAAAACAGTGCCAGGCTCTGGTTTCCCCCCGGCCCCCTCTCTTTTCATTGGGAAACATTAGAGCTTCAGTCTAGGGTCCTGAGATAATCTCCATTCTTGTCACTGGTTCTTCCCGTGTAAAGATTTTCTTTGTCATTGGCATTGTCTCGTCTGTACATATTTATTTATTTGTGTTCATGTCAGTTTTGTTTCCTATTTTAGCTTTCTGTTGCCCAGCTTTATTGTTTTAATTAACTTTCTATTAGAGAGACTATTTTGTTCCTAGAAAAATTGTGAAACAGTTTTCTGTAGCGATATCTTTGAATATGATGGATAAAAGCAACTGTGAGGGCAGACGAGACTTAGTAGGGAGAAACTGCTAAAGCTGATTTGCCATTTTACTGAAATGGAAAATGATTTTTCAAATAAATACTTATGTTGTTCATGTTCCAAATTATTCAGTTCCTTTATGAGTGAACGTTTCTATTTCTGGCTCTTAAATGGGAGAAAAAATTATTTGACAACTGGAAAATAACCTGGCCACCAATAAATCCAATGACATGGGGTGACTTTGCCAAAACACTAGGACTGAATATGTGACAAAGGATCCAGACCCTGGGACTGATGCACTCTGATGTTAGAATTTCTTAGGACAACTGGTACAGAGCCGGGCTGTATGGTATCTAAAATATAACTTAGGCTTTTTCTTTAGAAGGAAAGAAAAAAAGAAAAGGAAAGGAAAGAAAAAGAAAATGAAAGTAAGGAAATAGATCATAGAGTGTTATATAGAATTCAGGATTTGGGATATATTTCTCACATTCACAATTACTGCTATTTCCATTACGGGAGACTTGGAAACTGGTCCATTTTAGTTAACTTCACTTGCATGATCAGAACAGAGGCAACCACTTCCCTTTTCCTCTGGTAACTTAGAATCACTCCTTTCTGCAGAGCCAAGGTCAATTTGGCTCCTAGGCTTCCCCAGCAACTGTATGCCCAGCACTAAGTTGTGAGGCGCTTTGGCAGGTCACTGCAAAACCTGCCCTTCTGCGCCAACGCTTACAACTCCGAGCCAAGTCATGTTAAGAAAACAGGAGATGCTGAAGGCCCGTCTGCAGACCTGGGTGATCAGGTCACTTCTGAAAGCACAGGTGAGCGAGCAGTGGTGGGGAGCTCACAGGAAACCCCTGCTGATTTCCATGCTGTTCCATGTTTGTAGCATTTTTGAAGTCTGCATGAGTTGGGCTTTGTAATTGCAGTGCCTTGGCTAGGCTTCGGAGTTCTCAGTTCAATAATGTGCCGCTCTTTCATATCCGAACTCAATCTTTCTCCTTCCCATTCCTTCCTCATCCCCCACCACTTCATACCTGTTTCTTTTCAATTCCATCTCTCTCCTTTGCACATTACCTCCTTTCTTCATTTCCAGGAAAATGATCTGTGCTTCATTCTTCTTTCTCTGCTTCTCTCGAGAAAAAGTAAGAATAAATGTGAAGTTTTCAAATATTTTCATTTATAGTCTACTTTCTGTGAGGAGATAAAGGAAAGGGGAAGATTTAATATTTTTCTTAACACAGGAGGCTCAGATTTTTTTAAAAAATGGAGTAACCTGAATCCGATGGAAAAGAAACTCATAAAATCTGTGAATACCTTTCTTTGGACATCTGTGGTATTCAGTAATCATGTATGATTTTTATCATAACTCTGTGAGGAAATTCTGCTAGCTGTCTTCCATCTGGGGGAAGTTGGTAATTAAAATAAGCACCCTTTCCCATGACCAAGCCAAGTCTTCAGACTTTGGTTCCCTCTCACTGCAACACACTTTGCAGATTTCTTCCATGACTATAGATAGGAAGGAACCATCCAAGGTCAACATGACTTCAGGGAAAGTTGAAGAGAAGCTTCTAGAACTTCAGACAAAGCAGCAAAGTTTGAGTGAGGATTTGATCCAATAAGTTGAGGTTGCGTATAAGGAAAGTTATTCCAGGCATAGAGGCCGGAGAACCCAGAGCACTGAGTAGACAATAGTTGGGAATGGCTTGATTGCATGGTGTGGGAAGGTCACTGTGGAGAAATGACAGGCTGAAGCCAGGCCATTGTTGGGAGAAGCCTTCCTGCCAGCCACTTTGGTTTTTACCCCACCAGTCACCTGGGCTATGCCATGTTGTAGTCCCCAAATAACACACAAGACGCTGTATTAATTATGAAGCTGTTGGCCTTGCTTGTTTCTTACTGGCTAGCTCTCACTTAAGTATTTACTCCATAATTGTTAATCTAAGTATTTCTCTTACCGGAGAAAGGGGTCCTGACTTCTTATCCCTATGGCAGCTATATGGTGACTCCTTGTGTTTCTCCTTCCCAGAGTTCTCCTGGACTCCTAGTCCAACCTATCTTGCTTCCCTATTGGCCAACAGTGCTTTATTGACATATACACAGGACTTCCCCATCAGGCTATCATGGGAAGGGATCAATGTCCTAATGGAGAGGGGTGAGCTTGACGGGGACAACACAGTCTCAGAGCATGCTATGCAAGTGAGCCTGAGTCTACTTGGGATTTAGGAAGGTGAATGGAAGGATGATGAGAATTGAGCAGGACTGAACTTGGGGAGGACAGAAAAAGCCATGCAGAACTCCACAGGTGCTGAGGAACAGATAATGATTCACGCGACTAGGTTCAAATATTAAATATAATTTATTTCCGGGAGAAGCCAGTTATACAAGAAGCAGATGGCTGCTGCAGGTTCCCGCTCTAAGGATCCCCACAGGCTGCTCCCTGTGACCTGACCTGACCAGATGCAAGAGAGAGCCACCTGCCCAGACCCCAGACCTAAACGCACTCCCAGTCAGGTCCTCACCCGTAACCACACCCAAATGGGCACGGTCAGTGCTACAGGTGCAGGCAGGGTGGATATCTCACTACACACAGGAAAAGCAATTTAAGGAATGGTGATCAGAGAAGTAGTGGCACTGTCACAAGCCTACAGAGCACAGGCAAGGTAAGCATGAATTTTGGTAGGAGTGAGCTCACCATGACTAGAATAGCAGCCACTGGCTGGTTGTGCACCTTGACAAACCAATCTGTAGTTAGCATTCCTTCAAAAATTTTGGTTATCTGTGTTTATATACCATGCAAAGAATCTTTAAAACAGTACTTAGAATCTTTTATTATATTATTTTTATTGAAAATAAAAGGGTTTTTCATATAATATATTCTGATCACTATTTTCCCTCCCTGGTCTGCTCCCAGATTTTCCCTACCTCCTGATCCTTCAAATTACAAGTGCTCTTTGTCTCTTAAGAAAACAAACAGGCAAATAAAAAAAAGACAACTAAAGGCTAAAACAAAATGAACAGGCAAAAAGAAACAAAGAGCGTTAGAAATGCATACATACACACACAGACATCAAACCCATAAAAATGCAAAATCAGAAATCATAAAATACAACTAAAAGACCAACCAATAAGGGCTGGGTGTTGGTGGCACACGCCTTTAATCCCAGTGTTCGGAAGGCAGAGGCAGGCAGATCTCTGTGAGTTCGAGGCCAACCTGGTGTACAGAGTGAGTTCCAGGACAGGCTCCAAAACAATACAGAGAAACCCTGTCTTGAAAAGACAAAAAAATAAAAATAAAAATAAAAATAAAAAAGGTAAACAATGCCTCCTGAAAGCAAAGTGAAATTAAAAAAAACTTCAAAAATAGCTTTGTGTACTCAGAATCTTAAAATGACATTATCCTTTCCAAGCAAGAAACACAAACATGTAAATTGGAAAAAAATTTTACTAGACTTTTGCCACAGTAATGGAGAAGTCGGTAGCAGTTCTGAAGCAGTGTTGGTCTCTAATTCACAAAGACTGTCAAGGGATCGCTAACATAGCTGTGGCTTTTATTTTTCCAAATAATTCCCAACTCCCTGGGAAATACTTTTCTCTCCACAGATCTTTTCTCTGTCATTTGCTCTATGGGTTGACACAGTCTGTGTTTATTCAACTGAAGCTTTCGTAGTTGGAAATGGCTTGTTTGTTCGCTTTTCTCCTCAGCTACATGTTTCTTCATTTCCTGAAGCACATTCTGGATTGGTGTGGCCCCATGTGCTGCGACTCACAAGTAAGGGACAGATCTTCCTTCCTGTTTTTTCTTCTCAGAGAATTCTGGATTGGGTCACGTTGACAAAAATCCTAGCAAGGACAGAGTCCAGGAAACATTGCTTCTTCTTTTTAATAACTGCTGCAAATTGTTCAACATTGTTTCTTTTAATAACTGATACTCACTGTTCAACATTGTTTCCTTTTAATAACTACTACATACTGTACAACATTGTTTCTTTTTAATAACTATTACATACTGTACAACATTGTTTCTTTTTAACAGCTGCTATATATTGTTCAACATTGTTTCTTTTAACAACAGTTACATACTGTTCAGCATTGTTTCTTTTTAACAATTGTGGCATATTGCTCAACATTGTTTCTTTTTGACAACTGCTCGGTACTGTTCAAGCCAGTGAAAATTATCCTTTAAAGACCCGGATACTCCGCAGAGGACAGTTGTTTGTCCCCCATGGATAATAAAGCATTGCCGAGACCCAAAGGAGACCTTTGCCTTCACCCTTTCACTCTTCTTCTACTCTGAACTTCAAGCATAAGGACACCAGAGTGCAGCTGGAATCTCCTGGAAAGTATCATTTGTTCCTTTAATCTAATGCAACATTCCTTAATCTAAGATAACCTTAACATCATATGGAGACCACAGACTTGTTCGTTTCAGTTGTTGAAGTAAATACATGAGTGTGTATGAAAGTGTGTGTGTGTGAGAGAGAGAGTGAGTGTGTGTTTGTGTGTGTGTGATTCAATGACTGGAGTATGTGTGGGTGTTTAGGTGAGTATATATAAGAGTGAGTGTGTATTTAAGAGTATGTGTATTAGGGTGTGAGAGTACATAGGGAGTGAGTGAAGTGTGTAAGTGTGGCTGAATTTATGGGTTCAACTGTGTGTGAATGTGTGCTCACATATTTATTATATACTATATACTATAATGTTTAACATTGGTTCTGTCTTCAAATAAGAAACAGAAACAATATGATGTGTATGCATGAGTGTATTTATATAAATATGTGTGTGTGAATGTATGGCTAGATAAAATTGATGGTGGATGGATGGATAGATAGAAAGATAACATAAGATGAAAAGCATAAGCTCCGATCTCTCTTAATAAAGGAAAGGTAGAGGATATCTTATAAAGAGAGGCAATATAAATGTATATATCTGTCGTAAAGAGAGATGATACCTCTTCTTCTTTAAGGACACTCAGCAGGCATCCCACACAGTGTGATGGTTTGGATCTAGAATGTCACACAAATGTCCACATGAAGGTTTGGTTCTCAGCTGTGGCTGCACAGGAAGATGACAGAAGGTTTAGCAGTGGGGCTTCATTGGAAGCTTAGATCACTGATGTGCACATGTGAAGGCTTCTGCTTCCTTGCCGCCACAAGGTAAGCTCTGCCATGAACTTTTACCAGGAGGCACTATCTCACTAACTATAAAAGGCACTAGACTAAACTATCATGAACAAACCCCCTGAAACTGAGCCCTAGAATATCTATTCATCCTTTAAGTTCTCTTCCTCATGTGTTTGCACGGCTAGGAACAGTGATCAATACATGAAGACAGTGCTTTCTCTTCTTGGTGCCCAGCCCTCTCTCCACTCTCTTCAGTTTTCTAGAGGAACCTTTTGGCCTGGGTTTTACTTTGGGAACTTTCCTGTGATTCTTTGCAAGATTTCTCTTACAGTATATATGCCAAAGTATAAATGAGACTAAAACAACCCAGAGCGCATTCTCCTAATTTCAAATAGGCCAGGAAGCCTTTGCTACATTTAGTGGCTAGTGCTTAAAGCTAATGAAATGGATTTTCATGGATTAAAGCATGATCTTGTGGGGAAAATAAAATCAATAAGCTAAATTTTCTTATGAGAAACGGATTCATTAAAATCCAACATTAAAATACACACAGACGATGCCAGGTGGTGGTAGTGCACTCCTTTAATCCCAGCACTTGGGAGGCAGAGGCAGGTAGATCTCTGTAAGTTTGAGGCCAGCCTGGTCTACAGAGCTAGTTCCAAGACAGCCAGGACTGGTACATAGAGAAACCCTGTCTTGAAAAATAAAAACAAAACAAAAAAACAAACAACACACACACACACACACACACACAGAGAGAGAGAGAGAGAGAGAGAGAGCTTTTGATCACTCAGTCTTTGATCTTTCCTTTCTTGCCAGACTACCTGGTGCCTGGAATCTTTTTTTATTACAAATGAGAGGGAATGTACAAGTCCAAGAGTCAAATATATGCTTGGATTCTATAGACTTTTAGCCTACCCCCCATCAAATGTGAAGAAGCAGCTCTGGTTAGAAAACCTGCCCCCCTGTCAGCTGTTAGCGCTCTCAGCCAGCCTTTCTAAGATAGGAGTAGCCAACGTCCAGGTGGATGGTCCGCTTGACCCGAGGAGAGATGCTTCTACTGGATGCTGACCACAGGCCAGGTGTGTCTGATGCCAATCTGTGTAGATCATAGCAGCTGAAGGAAGCCCTACCCACTACCATCATAGCATTACCATACACAATACTTTGGGTCTACGGCCTCACTTGGGCCTAGACACATATCTCCTTGGATCAAAGTGTTTCTGGAGGTACCTACCCTTAAACAAAAGAATAAATAAGCTAGAGAATTCAACACAAGCCCACAGGGTCCCTAAACAAAAACAAGAAAGCTTCAGGTAGAAGACAAGCATGGTTCCTACATTGCTTGGCCCGCAGGAGGCAGAAACAGGGAAATTGCCATAAGGTCAAAGCCAGCCTGAGCAAGACCCTGCATCAAAGAAACCAAATTGGAAAACAAACAAACAAACAAAACAAAACAAAAAAAACCTTCAGAAAGAGGTTTCAAGTGTTTGTTGTCATCCTCTTAAGTTAACCGTTTAACAAAAGAAAGGTATCTGCCAAGGAGTAACAGAGCTTAACATGGGAAACTGTTAAGACTTATCAGTATTCCTTTTCCCTATAGAAAGTTCAAGACAAAAAACATGGCAATCGGAGATTCAGCCTTCCATAAAGAATTTTCCAGATCCATCATGGCCTTTATTGTTCTTGTTCATCTTTGCACATTAGACCTCTAGGATTTTCACTCTGTCCTTTTTGTAGTCTATTGTTTCTAGCACTGGAACGAACTTTCTTTCAAACGTCTGCTGCAGTCACTCAGAGGCTGGTGTGTCCGCCTCCCTGCTGCATGTCTGCCTGTTTTCCTCGCATTTCCCACGCGGTGACCTTTGTCTTCTCCACTATGTCACAAATAGTGTGTAAAATTGCTACAAAATTTTCATCAACCTTTGTGTACTCTTCTACCTTATCATCCTGCAGATAGCATACCATTTGATACCATATCTCAAGATAATTTTTTGATCTATAGCCAAGAAAGAGCAATAATAAGTCCGGCTCAGAATGACTTTTGGCACTTGGAACGCAGCTCAGTGGTAGGACAGCTGTCGAGGATGTGTAAGACCCTGGGTTCCATCTGAGCGCTGCAAACAAAAATCCTGCAGTTCTGGGCCAAGTGTTTATGTTAGTGTCATAGCTCAGTGTTTCTCAACTTGTGGGTCATGATCCCTTGGGTTTCCTAAGACTATCAGAAATCACAGATGTTTGCATTACAATTCACGACAGTAACAAAATTGCAGTTATGAAGTAGCGATGAAAATAATTTTATGGTGGGGGATCACGACAATATGAAGAACTATATTAAAGGGTCAAAAGGATTAGGGAGGTTGAGAGTCACTGGTCATAGTTGGTTTTAAAAACTTCCTTTCCTTCTCATTGTATTTGCTAAGGGCACACAGGGATTGGCAAACTTAGCTCCAGTGTTTGGAGCATTGTTTTAGGGTTTTCTTACTTAAACTGTGTTTAGTGAGCAGAAAAAACAAGTAACTTCTGTAATGATTTTGATGACAGCTCTGTACTTACAGACCCAATATAGATGATAGTATTTTCGTTGAAAATTTAGGCCATAGAAGAAGAAACGGGTGGCAGAGTTGATTACAAGGGTTACTGTTGGTAGCCTCATCTCAACCTGAACTTAGCTGGGCAGTCAGCAGGATTAGTTCATGTATCTACACGGGTACTCAGGTTCTTAGCAGTCATAGAATCAACTGAATCCAGGACAGAGGTCACCCCTGAGTCTGAGTAGATAGGTATACTCCACTAGAAAACTGATTCTAAAGACAAAATACAACTGTGGATTACAGAGACTGATCCCCTAATTATGTTTCTTACACAGAACACTCAGTTAACTAACACGCTTTGAGTCCTTGTCCTCTAAAGCAATCTAGATGATATTCCCATCTTCCTCTGGGACACCTGCTTCTATCCGACAAAACAGACTTCGTAGTAATTTCCAGAGGCAGTTTCAATTAAAATTTAGTAATAAATTGTCTATAATTTATGCAAACAATGTTTCCAATGTTTGGACAATTATGTGGCACCTGGAATAATTCATGAAGCCCCCTGCTTGGTATGTAGAAATTAAAAGTAGACTGTTTAAGTAAAAGTAATACTACCATTTCATTTCCTCATCTACAGTCAGCAAAATCTCTTAAAGAACAGCCCTCAACGTGGAAAAAAATCCTGAGCACCACAATAAACATTACAACATCATGGCATACAGCACACAATTCAGAAACAAGAGCTCACTGCATCAGAGACTCGGAACTTGTTCAACCAGCAATAAGCTTCTTTATGCAAATGGAAATCCTGAATCGAGGTCTCCTTCTAAAAGTAAGTGACTTCTGAGTAGTGTAGAAGATCTGTGGTGTGAGCCTGCTGTCTCAGAGATTCAATTCTTTCTTTTGATTAAAGATAAATTTCTAGAACACTGAAAATTCCTACCTTGATGTCTTAGGTCTAGTTCGGTGGTATAGTAGAGTGCTTGCCCACCAGAAGCCAGACACATGAAAACTATCATTGATGAAGTTCTCTGACACACACACACACACACACACACACACACACTTTATGTTAGAACCTGGACACTGTAAGGGATCTGCTTCTAGACAGAATGGACCCCTCACCTTGACAAGCTCACAGTTAGTGGGTACAGCAGGTACACTGAATTGGTGGTGACATTAACAGATGAGCAGAGCTAAAAGATCAAGGAAATTTGAATATAATATCTGCTGGCAATGAGAAACTCATAATCCTGTGACAGCATAACAGTTATGTAAAAACCCTGATTTATTGAAGGTATACAATACAGTCATTCCTTCCATTGCTGAGACAAATCACCACAAACCCAGTGATTTAAAAACAACAGCAATTTATTCTCTTGAAGTTAAGAATCAGAAGTCTGAAGTGGACCTTCCAACAATAAAACCAAGACCAAGGCTTCTACGGTGGGTCTCATCTTATAGAGTAGCAACGAAAGTAATTTTATGGTTGGGGAGGTCACCTCAGCGTGGCAGCATTAGAAAGGTTGAGAACCAATTGTGCTAGGATGAGCCTTCACCTCAAATGGCTTGGTTTCACCACAGCTGCACAGTTCCTTTTGAGAAACCAGGTCCCTCCTCCACAGGGGCCCCACCCTAAAGAGGACGGGACCGGGAAAGGCACTTCTTGAGCGAGAAAAATGGAAGCACTTCTTGGAGTTAATGTTTGTACGAACTCCTGTTGTCTTCGATATTTTTTCCAGGATCACCCACGTCTCAATGAAATTTAACGGATGAAATCGGCAACCTGTCTTGAAACCCTTACACTGGGTTTAAGGGAGCAAAGCCATGATTGGGAAGCAGCTGGTAGGGAAGACATTGCTTCTAAAGATACAGCAATCTAGATAGCTAGAGACACTCGGGCTTTATTTGTTTTCCCCAAAAGGTTTAGAGATCCATTCTTGTCGACGCTGTATGAGTCCACTGGGTGGCGCCCTGCTCCCTCTTTCGCTTGAGCACTCAGGCACACTCTCCCCGGCTGGTTGGGCTCTCTACTGATGAGGGCACAGACCCCGTCATTTTTCACAGAAAATTAAGAGGATTTCTTTTATAAGACAATGAAATTATCCCACCCCTCCCCTCGCTCCTCTAAATACTATTACAGCAATATTAAAAACAAAGAGGATCCATCCATCACCTGCAGGATTATTAGGTTCTGGCAGGCAACTGTAAATATGTACATGGCCAGCAGATGGCAGTGCACTATTAGCAATAGGCTAGAGTCCCTGGAACACAGAGGGTCCTTCGATCTTGGGAGGTCGGTAGAGCTAGATACTGCACAGAGTCAGCCTGGCAATCTTTAGTCAAACAGCCAAACCATATGCTCCGTGCTCCCGGTGAGCACGCATGGGCAACCAAGAAAAGAGAAATGTCCCGACCTTGTCCTCAAATTTCATCTTGCCCTTCCCCACTGGATTAAAATCACACTTCTGAGAGAAACCCGCTGTGCCGAAAGGCAGGGAAACAAAATGCAGCTAAAACACCATTCTTTTTTTCTCTTTTTAAATTGAAAATAAATTCTTCTCTCATACAGTACTCCCAACTCCCAGGTCCATCCCCACACACGCCCCCCCATCCACCCTGTGTCTTCAGAAAAGAACAGACCTCAAGGAGACAACAACCAAACGCGACAAAACAAAACACACAAGACAAGGCAAAAGCCCTCACACCGAGGGAAGCCCAACAGAAAGAGAAGAGTCCCGCCAGCAGGCAAAGAGCCAAAGATGCATCCACTCCAAGTTAGGGGTCCCACAGAAGCACTGAGTTAACAGCCACTTCGTGCATGAAGAGGACCTAGTACAGACCCGTGCAGCCTTGAATTTGCTGCCTCAGTCTCCATGAGCCCATCTGAGCCTTGCTTAGTTCCTTCAGCGGGCCATGTTCTCCTGGTGTCTTCCATCTCCTCTGACTCCTACACATTTCCTGCTCTTCTTCTGAGAGATTCCCTGAGCTCTGGGGTGAGAGTCCCAATGGAGACTTCAATGGAGACTCTCTTCACATCATTATTTGGCTGTGGGTCTCTGCACCTGCTCCCATCTGCTGCTGGAGGAGGCCTCTCTGATGCCATCGTCACCTCTTGGATGCTGGACAAGGCACCAATTTATGAGTATAGCAGAACGTCATTAGGAATCATTTCACTGACTTTTTTTTAGACCAGTCACGTTTGGTTCTACCCCGGGTCTCTGAGATAGCTCAGGTTCCTGGCCATCCAGGCAATGTAGGACATGGAATTATAAGCTCTCACAGGGCCAATAAAATCAGCCAAATAAGTGTTGGAGGCTCATGGGATCTGAGCAAGGGTACCCTGGTCCCTGGGTTCGCTCATGTCTCCACCCAATCCTTTCTCTCCCACAGGCTGGAATCCTTTAGCACATACAGCGGACACCGTCACTCCACTTTCAAACCTTTTGGTAATTCCCTCTTGCACCTGAAAGAAAACCCACATTCCTAACACCTCTCTTCAAACCCTGCAGATGCTCCTTTTGTGCTCTTTAACTGACACTGGTTGACCATGCTCCAGCCAGCCCTGGCTTCCTGGTGGGCCTTGGAAGAGCCAGAACCCCTGTGTGTGCTCCTTCCTTTCCAGAACAAAGGGGCCTTCCCGAAAGTCACCCACCGCTTGAACACTGGTCCCCAGGTGGGGCTTCTCTGCTGGTCCGCTTGCCAGTAGCAAGATTGCATTATGCTTCAGTTTGTAGCACCAAGGTTGGAAATTTTTGACCCAGGTCCAAGCCTTTGTAAATTCATCACATGCATCAGAACACACCCTGTCTTCTCCATTTGCCTATTGTCAATGATGTAGTTAGACAGTACAAACTGAAAACATTTGCTACCTCACCTTTTACACGAGAGGGTTATCGATCCTGAGTGTAGCAAATAGCCACATTTATTTGTTTTATAACACGAATCACCTCAGCAGGGATTTACCAGTCTGTTTATTTGTTTATTGACTCGCTGCTCTGTTTCTCTCTCCTTAGGCTCAGGACCATTCCCGGCCCCTTCCGTGTCCTCGTGTGTCTTGTGCGGCGCTTAGAACAATCTTTCAATCTGTTCACACCATGAATCGCACTATTTGAAGAAAGAATACTTAACTGAGAGAAGCAGCGGGGTCCACGTAACAGCATGTGACGACTGAGGAGGGAGGGGAGCGGAGCGAGGAATGCAGGGCCCGAAGGTTGGTGCAGGAACATGCTCTATCACAATTGCAAGGGAGAGTTACTGCGGGCTTTCAAAATGAAGCAGTGTACATCTGGGAAGCCAGCACTTTCAGAAAATGATAAACTTTATCTGTTGTATCAGTGTGTTTTGCTTTTCATGAACATCCACACACCACTTTTGTGTCCAGCGCTAGCAGAGGCTATAAGAGGATGTCTGATCTCCCAGAACTGAGGTCATAGGTGGTTGTGAGCCACCCTGTCAGTGCTGGGAGTTGAACCCAGGTCCTCTGGAAGAGCAGTTAGTGCTCTCAACACCTGAGCCATTTTCCCACCCCATGGAAACCAATGCTTTTTAAATTGAGGTACATTACATGAGATAGGGCATCAGGGCTGGGTTGGTTGTTTTGCTTTGTGTTTAGGTGTTGTTTTCTTTTCTTGTTTTATGGTTGTTATGTTGTTCTTAAGCACCATGCCCCTCAACTACATCATCCCCTTTTAATCGTTGCTTTGAGACAAGGACCCCATGAGTTATTCGGACTAGCTTCAAATTCATTGTAAAGCCCAGGCTGGCCACAAGCTTGCAGTCCTGTTTTCTCAGTCTCCCAAGTAGCTGGAATTACAGGTGTGCGCCACCATCCCTAGCTTTGGTTTTGATGGTTCTACTTCTGGGAAGTGAAATGGAGTGGAGATTAATTCAGGAACCGATGACCAGTTAATTCATCATGCCTATTTAACAGAACCTCCTTAAAATTCCCCGAAGAAGGGGTGTGGGGTATTTCTAGGTTCTTGAACACATGTAGGGTGGCCGACTGGGGAAAGGCATAGAAGAGCCATGTGCCTTCTCCTGTTTACCCTACATAATCCTTCCTCAGGCTGTTCATCTTTCTCCTTTACAATACAACAATGGATGCTAAAAGAATGTTTCCTGGATTCTGTGAACTTACAGCAAATTAACGAATCTGAGGAAGGGAATATGGAACCCTACTTTATAGAGGGACAGAGAGACAGCAAGAGACTTGAAACTTGCTCTTGGAGAGTGAAACTGGGACAGTCTTCAGGGTCTGAGATCATGATGGAGTTGAACCATGAGTCACCCAGTCGGTATCCGCAGGGATCTGTGGAATTCCTTGCTGAGGAAACCCATAATTTGGGGGTCAGATGTGTCAGCCCATTGGTGTATACAGCAAAAGAGGTTTTTCCTTTGTAGCCTCTATTTATCTATCATCTGCAGAGAAAAAAAATATAAAACCTTGAATAAAATAACAAATGTGATTAGATGTGTTGACGATTGGGAACTGGAATTAAAGTCCTACAGAAAACCTTGGTGCTATTCTTACAAATTGTATACAAAATTAAAATTATGTAAATGATTATGTTAACATATTGAGAATATATATTTGGTATGGACACTCAGTATACTATGATTTCATGCTCAAACTTTAACATTATTTCATAGCAAACAGTGGGTAAGTAACAATTGCTTTGCAGGATTAAGCATGCTAAAATATTTGAAAGGATGGATGGTATTGCGTGCACATACACAAACAGAAATAAACTCAGAGAGGTATTAACAGTATTTATGTTTGAGATTCATGTTTCATGTTATCAGTAACTCTCTTATTTCAATGCTTCTATCTTTCTGCTATTTTTATAATCAGTAATTACTAATTTTAACATTTAGTCATTGCATTTCTTCTTTTCCCTGGTCACAGAAAAGAAAGAGGGGGACAAAAGGGATGAGGAGAGAGATCAGAGATAGAAAACAAGAAGAAGAGAAGGTGATAGGGAGAGGGCAAGGAGGGAAGAAAGAGAAAGGGAGGGAAGGAGAGAGAGAGAGAGAGAGAGAGAGAGAGAGAGAGAGAGAGAGAGAGAGAGAGAGAGAGAGAGCTGATGGGGCTGGAGTTTGTGTGGAAGCTGTTGACTGAGGTTGGACAGGAAACCTACCTCCTGGGTTGCACAGCATCACCTGATGGAAACTGTAGCCTCCAGGGTTGTCATAACCCATCTATCTCAAAGGCAATGTCACTGTTCTGCTTCCCATACTTTCCTGTTAGAGGGTCACTGAGACCTAAGGTAGGGACTAATCTCGAGTTCTGTTTATCCTGCCACATGAAAACAACCTTGACCCCAAGGATCCGAAGCAGAATGATGCACCTACACAAAACCAGAAGGATACCACTGCCAAACGGAGCACAACACAGTGTGGAGCACAACACAGTGTGTAAAGGTGAGGGACGAATGCAGTTATGATGCTGGATAGGTAACAAGTGAGTCTGTGCAGACTCCCCATAATGCTTCAGCCAAGTCAACGGGTTCACACAATACCCAGAGTACCATGGGCCTCATAGTTTCCTGGTCTGGGGAGATTCTCTCTGCTGAAAAGCACTGAGGAGTTGGAATAAAGCCTTTTCTCCATTATCATCTCTTCCTGGAAGTTATTCAAAGACACAAGAAGTTTCTTCCTCCACGCCCCATCTCTAACTCCTGTAGATAGATTTACACCCCACACCTGGTGTTGCTAAGCACATTAACAAAACCCACATGCACATGTGGGAGTCAAGGTTGGCGAGGGAACTTCATTTGATTTAATTACTTAGTAGAAAGTGAAAGCTCCGAGTACATAGTGTTAAGGGACCTTTATAACGTATGGTTAAGAAATGTCTGGATGAGCTCAGTGCTGAGCTCTCTGAACAGTGCCACTCTGTGACACCTGTTTGAAAGACGTTTTATAGAATGCGTGGGTGGGTGTGGGGGATCATTGCATCGCTGCTTTCATTTCACAAATTCATTGTTGGCTCTTTGGAGTCATGGTTTCAAGATCACATGCCTCATAAAAATTATTTTTGCTGTCATGGCTCACAGGAAAGTCAGGATCCAACACCTCTTTAGCATCAGTGAAGCCAAGTACTTAGGGGAAATAACAATTTACTCTCAAGTTAATTAGCTGTATCTGGAAATACTCCATTTTAAAAACCAAATCTACAGCAAGCCTGGATACCTTCAGAGTTTCTGAGACAGACCTTAGGGTGTTAGAAAAACTGCAGGGCCTTGGGTTCCTCCCTCCTTCACTCCAATTGTAGGTTAACTCATAGTCATTCTGTGACACTGAGCAAATTCCTCACCCCTGAGAGTCTCCTCTCAACATCTGTGAGACAGGATTAATACCAACTACATTCTAGAGTATTTTCTTTTAATTAGGGATAGAAACAGTGTACATAATAGTACCAAGTAGTTGCTTAACAATGATGTTATTACAAGTGACTATGCTTGCCCTTTTACAAATTTGAAGAGTTTTTTTCTTTCTTTAAGATTTATTTATTATGTATACAGTGTTCTGTCTGAATGTATCCCTGCAGGCCAGAAGAGGGCACCAGATCTCTTTACGGATGGTTGTGAGCCATCATGTGGTTGCTGGGAATTGAACTCAGGACCCCTGGGAGAGGAGCCAGTGCTCTTAATCTCTGAGCCATCTCTCCAACCCATGAAAAGAGTTTAAAAAATAATTTCAATCCAGTGGAGAAAAGAAATTATAAAGAAGGGAAGGAAGGAGGGAAGGAAGGAAGGAAGGAAGGAGGGAGGGAGGGAGGAAGGAAGGGTGGGAGGGAGGGAGAAAGGAAAGAAGGGGGAAGGGAGGGAGGGAGAAAGGAAAGAAGGGGGAGGGAGGGAGAGAGGGAGGGAGGGAGAGGGAGGGAGGGTAGGAGGAAGAAAGGAATGGAGGGAGGGAGGAAGGAAGGGAGGGGGAGGGAGGAAGGAAGCTAGAATGCAGAGATAAATGGAGAGGGAGGAGAAATTGTGAATGAAAGTCAGTGGAGCACCCCCAGGCCAGTCTCAAAGGAGGAAGTTACCGGTGTGTGTCCCTCTCTCAGTCTGAAGGCCCCACGCCCAAGAGTGATGGTCTGCAGGCAGGAAGGTATAGACAGACACCTCTGCTCAAGAGTGATGGTCTGCAGGCAGGAAGGTATAGACACCTCTGCTCAAGAATGATGGTCTGCAGGCAGGAAGGTATAGACACCTCTGCTCAAGAGTGATGGTCTGCAGGCAGGAAGGTATAGACACCTCTGCTCAAGAATGATGGTCTGCAGGCAGGAAGGTATAGACACCTCTGCTCAAGAGTGATGGTCTGCAGGCAGGAAGGTATAGACACCTCTGCTCAAGAGTGATGGTCTGCAGGCAGGAAGGTATAGACACCTCTGCTCAAGAGTGATGGTCTGCAGGCAGGAAGGTATGGACACCTCTGCTCAAGAGTGATGGTCTGCAGGCAGGAAGGTATGGACACCTCTGCTCAAGTGCAGGCCAGTATGTGCCACTTCTTCCCATTGTGTTCTACTCAGACACTCAGCCGGTTGGGTTCTGTTCGCCTGAATCGGTGGAGGGAGTCTTCTTCGCTAAGTCTTCACATACAAATGTTTTTTTCTTGCAGAAATATCTATGGATACATCCATAAAAGATGCTTCCTCGGCTATCTGTGACTCCCTTATCCCAGCAACTCACAAATTAATTATTAGACACTGAGGAATTCCACCTTAAATTCGTTTCAGAAACCCTTGCCTGCTGCCTGAGTAAAAACCCTCCCCAAAGGGACCCTCATATTTTACATCTTATTAAAGGGAATGTGTGGCAGTTTGGTACTATTGGCATTGTGATCAAATACCTATCAAGAGACAACTTAAGGGAGAAAGGACTTATTTGGGCTCAGTGTTTGAAGGAATACAGGCCTTTATAGATGTGTAGCAGTAGGTGGCTGGTCACATTTTCTTTTTTTTTTTTTCAGAAGCTGAAAGAGAATACAGGTACAGGCCAGGCTTGCTCACTGTCTACATATTTTTTCAGTCTTAGTCCCCAACCTTCGGGATGATGCTCCTTCCCACATTCAGAATGTTCCCAGAGGTGTGTCTCTGAGCTGATAGTAAGTCCAGTCAACTAGAGAATTATTAATCATCACAAGTCCATCCCTTGTCAATTTGACACAGAAACGTACCAGCTTTTAAGCCATAACATTTCTATCACTGATCCTCAAAATCTCATGACCATTTTGTAAGATAAAATTGCATTCAGTTAATCTCCCATATTCTTAACCATTCCAACAATACTCAACAGTCTAGGAAAATATTCTCTGAGACTCAAGATGATATCCTGATTGTGAGATTCTGTAAATTGTGTTTGGACTTACTATATCCAATATACAGTAGAACAGATTAAACAGTTACATTCAAAGAAGAAAGAATAGGGGCACAGAAAAAAATAACAGTACCAAAACTAAAATTAAATCCAGAAGGGCAAATGTCAAATCCTGTAGCTCCACATCTGGCATTTCTGTTCTTCATAACATCATATGGACTCCAATGATCTTGGGAACCTCCACCCATCTAACAATGTTGTCTGTAAGGCATATGGTCTCTCTCTTAGACCAGTTCTACTCCATAGATGTAGTTTTCCTTGACAAATGTCCCATGAGCTTTGCTTCGCCTATATCCTGGACTCTTCATTGCAATGTAAGTATTACCTTCAAAACTCAGAGCAATGGACTCTTGGTACTCTCCTGCAAGGAATCCAACACTATCACACATTGCTTTGCCATAGAGACCTTCTGAAACCATGACCCAGACCTCCATGAACCCATCACTTGCACCTTGCATGTCTGAGAATTGATGGTACCATTGTGTGTTGCCAGATCAAGATGCACCTTGGCCCTCTTGGGCCATACCTATGGTGGCCTTTCTGTGCCTTCAGTGGTGGATCTTGAGAACTAATTCCACAGCTGTCAGTTTTCCACCAGGATACTCTGAAAACTCTTTTCTGGAACTTTCCTTTTACATACATTTGCATAATTATACTCTTAGAGTTCTTGATAAGGTCTTGCCCTCAAAGTACTTTTCCTACTGTCCCAGAGCAAAGTCCATGGTTTCTCTTTAATGGTGCTATCTTTTTTACAGTTATAAGTCCTTTGAATGCATCTTGAAAGCAGTATCAAACATTCTCACTGTCTTTTCTCTACCATAATGCACATCCTTCAAATCTTTCTGTTCTACATGTACGCATACATGCACAGTAAACCAGGTTAAAAGCACCAAGCAGTAACCATGCCACAGCCTGAATTATGTGGTGTCTTAAATTTTCCTCTGACAGACAAATTTGTCTACTACTTTTGAATTCAGCCACATCAGAATTTTCAAGATAGAGGCAGATTATTTGCCTAACATAAATAGCCTTTAATAAAAATTTTGGCAGAGTCTCTATTTCTCTTTGAAACTTTATGAATATAATCTTTCTGTGTGTGACTCTATCAAGATTCTGGCTTCTTGGCTCCCACCAGAATGTGCCCCTATGGTCTGCCTTTGATCAAAACCTTTCCAAATTCTTTGTCAACCAATTTTAAAGGCATAGCCAAGACAATTTCAGCCAATGGTCTCACTTCTGGTAACCACTTTTCTATATGAGCTACCATTCTAACTTCTGTACCAAATACTTTACAAGAATCAATGAAGGGAAGCAGTCTTTTGTTTTTAGTCTCCAGGTTAAGGAGATGGAGACTATCATGACAAGAAACTCACGGTACCAAGTGATACTAGAGGAAAG